ATTCGTACACACACACACGTATATATATACACAAACACACACAAATATACACATACATACACACATATACATATACACATTCAAATATACACACATATACATATGCACATGCACACATACATATACACATGCATTCACATATACACATACATACACACACATATATACACACAAATATGCATATAGACAAACTCACACATATACACAATATGCATGTACACATCTAAACACAAATCCACAAATACATACACACACTTATATACACACAGATATATACACCCACATGCAAAACACATATACACAGACTGGGCTACAGCAATGCATGGCAGGGGATGGCTAGTTACTCATCGAAACACTGAAAAACACAGCAGAAGAGACTTTAAAAGCCAAAAAAACCAAAAACTGCATTACAACATATGCACAAAACCACATATATATACACAACCACACATATATACACATATACACACACAAAACACAAATATGCAGATTGTGTCACAGCAACGTGTGGCAGGGGACGGCTAATAAAATAAATAAATAAAATTTATTTATTTATTTGAGAGGAGCCCCCGGTGACGCAGTGGGCTAAACCGCTGAGCTGCTGAGCTTGTTGACCAAAAGGTCGCAGGTTCAAATCCGGGGAGCAACATGAGCTTCTGCTGTCAGCCCCAACCTAGCAGTTTGAAAACACGCAAATGTGAGTACATCAATAGGTACTGCTCTGGCAGGAACATGACCTTGGAGGTGTCTATAGACAACGCCGGCTCTTTGGCTTAGAAATGGAGATGAGCACCAACCCCCAGAGTAGGACATTACCAGACTTAATGTCAGGGGAAAATCTTTACCTTTACTATTTATTTGAGAAATGTATATTCCACCTTTCTCTGAGCACAAACCCAAGGTGGCTACAACAGAACAAAAACAATACAGTACAAAAGTTAAAATAACCCATAAAATCATAAATATTTGAAACAGGTAACACAGTTAGCATCATATCAGCATTTTTTGTAAATCAACTTATTTCCTCGGCTTTCTGCAAAAATTGTTCTATATCTTAAACTTTTAAACTAAGCATTAAGGGTATAGGGTTACAGCCTGTGTTGGACGCGGTTACACTCTCCCTGAATGAGGCCATGTACTATTAGAATGAGTCGAGTGCATGTACGTCTACAAGGAAATAAGCTATCTCCAAATTGACTCTAGATACCAACATACTTTCCCTTTCCCAGAAGTGGGCAGGGCTTGGCTGGAGAGAAGGAAGCATAGGCAACACATCAGATGTCCACATTTATGTAACAGAAGTCCTGTGCTGCCAGTAAGATGGGTTATATTCAATTTTGATACCCCGCTTTTTCTCTCCCCATAAAGGAGACTTAAAGTGACTTACAGTAAAAGCATTTCTATACAATTTAAAATATACAGATATATGAACACTAAAGCCTTCTGGATATTGAAAACATAATAAAAAATAAAGTAACACTGAAACCAGAAAGTTTTTATTGGGACTATTAGACAAGCAAATACTGAAACATCAGGAAAGAATCTTCATGTACATGACTACAGCAGCAGGAATTGGTTTTGCAAAACTATGGAAGCAGGAAAGAACACCAACACCAGATAGATTACAATATTTTTTGAAATGGCTGAAATTGACAAATTAGCATTAATTCTACAACAAGACAATACACAAAAATGGCAAGAAGTCTTCCTGGCTCCCCTTTTTCACTTTGGCCCCAGAGCAACATGTTTTTCTGTGAGCGAGCAGGTGGCAATTACTGGATGGCATATGTTCTATATCAGAAACTAGAGCTGATGTGGATTATCCAATGAAATATTCTGAATCAGCACCCGGAATAACCAAACCAAATCTAAAGTTGACCAAAAACTGATTCGTAACACTTTTGGTACTAATGTTGAAGAGTGATCCCTGGTCAAGTGGTCGTTGGTCAAGTGGCCCCTGGTCAAAGTGGTCTGTAGTCAAGTGGTCCGTAATCATGTGGCTCCTGTACAAGTGGTCCCTAGACAAGTGGTCCCTAGTCAAGTGGTTGCTGGTCAAGTGGCCTCTAGACAAGTGGTCCCTGGTCAAGTGGTCCCAGGTCAAAGTGGTCCCTGGTCAAAAACAGGGACCACTTGACTACGGATCACAAAAAAAGATAGATAATTATAATATTTATTTATTTACGACATTTATATCCCACCCTTCTCATCCCAAAGGGACTCTGAGTGGCTTGCAAGTTATATGTACATTCAAATATTATATTATTAGCATAGCATAGTATTAATATTATATATTGTTACATTGTACTATACCACTATACTGCAATATTATTCGTGAGGCACAAAGGACTCCCATGACCAACATAAAACACTAGAAGGGTTTGGGGGCATTGACCCTGAGTTTGGGAATTGTAGTTCACCTACATCCAGAGAGCACTGGACTCAAACAATGATGGATCTGAACCAAACTTGGCATGAATACTCAATATGCCCAAATATGAACACAGATGGAGTTTGGGGGAAATAGACCTTGACATTTGGGAGTTGTAGTTACTGAGATTTATAGTTCACCTACAAAGAGCATTCTGAACCCCACCAATGACAGAACTGGGGCAAACTTCCCACACAGAACCTCCATGACCAACTGAAAATATTTAAGGCCATCCAGTCTAACTCCCTTCACCAGGGCAAGAAAACGTAATCAAAGCCCTCCTGACAAAGAGACATCCAGTCATAGATATAGATAGATAGATATAATTCACACACACACAGAGATATAGTATAGATTTGAAAGGGACCCCTAAAGAAGGACAATTATATGTTGCATGTTCCAGGGTAAGCAAACCAGACAATCTCCACATCAACACTGACAAAGAAACAGCAAAAATACTGTTTACCCACAAGCATAAAGAAATTACATATATTAGAAACCAACACTTTCTCCTTACTTTATTTTCCAGATCACTAGACTGGGCTACAGCAACACCTGGCAGGGAGCAGCTAGTATTACATCTATATACATAAAAATGTAATGTTTGTTTGTGGGATTAACAGAACTCAAAAACCGCTGGGAGAATTGACACCAAATTTGGACACAAGACACCTAACAACCCAATGTATGTCCTTCACTCAAAAAAATTGATTTTGTCATTTGGGAGTTGTAGTTGCTGGGATTTATAGTTAACCTACAATCAAAGAGCATGATGGAATTGAACCAAACTTGGCACACAGTTCTCCCATGACCAACAGAAAATACTGGAAGGGTTTGGTGGGCAGTGTCCTTTGGTTTTGGAGTTGTAGTTCACCTACATCCAGAGATCACTGTGGACTCAAACAATGATGGATTTCAACAAGAAATGGACCAAACTCTACACGAATACTCAATTTGCCCAAATGTGAACACTGGTAGAGTTTGGGGGAAATAGAATCTTGACATTCGGGAGTTGTAGTTTCTGGGATTTATAGTTTACCTACAATCAAAGAGAATTCTGAATCCCACCAATGATAGAATTGAGCCAACCCCCCCCCCCCCACAGAACCCCCATGTGGCAATGCATGGCAGGGGACGGCTAGTGTAATATATAATTTACCTGATATTACTAATCTGCTAAAAAAGAAATAAATTTTAAGATATGTATATAGCTTGGTGGGATGGGCATACCAAGCCACCTTGTCTCTCTCCTGAGGAATCTGTACAAGGACCAAGTAGCAACAGTAAGAACTGACCACGGAACAACAGACTGGTTCAAGATTGGGAAAGGCGTACGGCAAGGCTGCATCCTCTCACCCAACCTTTTTAACTTGTATGCAGAACACATCATGCGATGTGCGGGGCTTGATGAATGCAAGGCTGGGGTGAAAATTGCTGGAAGAAACATTAACAACCTCAGATATGCAGATGACACCACTCTGATGGCCGAAAGCGAGGAGGAGCTGAGGAGCCTTCTCATCAAGGTGAAAGAAGAAAGCGCAAAAGCCGGGTTGCAGCTAAACATCAAAAAAACCAAGATTATGGCAACAAGAATGATTGACAACTGGAAAATAGAGGGAGAAAATGTGGAGGCCGTGACAGACTTTGTTTTTCTAGGTGCAAAGATTACTGCAGATGCAGACTGTGGCCAGGAAATCAGAAGACGCTTACTTCTTGGGAGGAGAGCAATGTCCAGTCTCGATAAAATAGTAAAGAGTAGAGACATCAGACTGGCAACAAAGATCCGCCTAGTCAAAGCCATGGTATTCCCTGTAGTCAACCTACGGATGTGAGAGCTGGACCTTAGGGAAGGCTGAGCGAAGGAAGATCGATGCTTTTGAGCTGTGGTGTTGGAGGAAAGTTCTGAGAGTGCCTTGGACTGCGAGAAGATCCAACCATTCCATCCTCCAGGAAATAAAGCCCGACTGCTCACTGGAGGGAAAGATACTAGAGACAAAGTTGAAGTACTTTGGCCACATCATGAGGAGACAGCAAAGCCTAGAGAAGACAATTATGCTGGGGAAAGTGGAAGGCAAAAGGAAGAGGGGCCGACCAAGGGCAAGATGGATGGATGGCATCCTTGAAGTGACTGGACTGACCTTGAAGGAGCTGGGGGTGGTGACGGCCGACAGGGAGCTCTGGCGTGGACTGGTCCATGAGGCCATGAAGAGTCGGAGACGACTGAACGAATGAACAACAATATAGCTGACTGTCAACAAGAGTAGAAAAAAAATAGAGGTTGGGGCGGGTAGAGGGAAGGGCCTGAGGCTGTTAGGAATTGTGGGAGTTGAAGTCCAAAATACCTGGAAGGAGGGCCCAAGTTTGCCCAGGTGGAGTCAAACTGCCAGCCTTCTCTGCTAAAAGAGCGAATGCTTCACCAAATCATAACTTATAGGCCTCTTTGGCGTCAAGTTGTCTTCATCCTACAATGCAGACGGGTCAGGAAAGGCCTTGATTTCGCTCAGGCGGAGTGTGGGGACAGTTAATCCTTCCTTAAAGGCGAGGAGCCACCGAGCCCTGCCTGCCTTCTGCCTCCTCCCTCCCTTCCTTCCTCTAACGGAAGCGGGCGGGGAATCCTTCGCGGCCGGTGCGGCCCATGCCCTGCTGGCGGCCGAGGAGGAGGAGGAGGAGGAGGATGCTCCGCCTGGCTGTGGGGCTGCTGGCGGCCTCCCTCCTGGCCGTCATGGTGGGCCGCTACGGGCCTCCGGGGAAGCAGGACCCGGCGCCCCGGAGGCGGCCCTTCTCCCCCGAGCCTGCGCCGGCCGCCCAGCCCAACAACCTCTTCTGGGCCGTGCAGGCGAGTCAGGAAGCGGCGGGCGGGTGGGCAGACCTCTTTTTGCAGCCGGGGATGGTGGGCCCAGTTCGGCTGGAGCTCTGCAGCAGGCATTGGGCCTTCCAGGTGTTTGGGACTTCAACTCCCATCATTCCTGACAGCCTCAGGCCCTTTCCTTTCCCCCCTTTTCCTTTCCCCCCGCTTAAGCGGCTGAGGGGGGAAAGGAAGGGGCCTGAGGCTGTCAGGAATGATGGGAGTTGAAGTCCCAAACACCTGGAAGGCCCAAGTTGGCCCATGCCTGGAGACTGATGTTTAAATCTCTTTAAATATTTGCATATTTTCATTGGTATGCTGATGTTTTTATACTAAGTCACTTTGAGTCTCCTGTGGAAGAGAGAAAGCAGGGTATAAATAAATATAATAATAGTATATGGATAGATAGATTGACAGATAGATAGACAGACACAGCCATATAACCCAGAATATCAAGGCAGAAAATCCCACAGTCCCTGCATTGAACTGGAATATATGGCCATGTGGATTCGGGGTTTTTCGACACAGCCATATAACTCAGAATATCAAGGAATAGTAACCCACAATATTTGCTTTGAACTGCAAGGAATAATAACTCACCATATCGGCTTTGAACTGAGTCCACACTTTGAACTGAGTCCGCACTTCCTTTTATTCCAGTTCAAAGCAGAAAATGTGGGACTTTATTCAGCTGCGTGGAAAGCGCTTTAGATAGGCAGACTTAGATTGATTGGTAGGTAGGTAGATGGTTAAGTTATAGTAATATTTGGATTGACCGACAGACAGATAGAGTAAAATATAGATAGCTAAATAGACTTAGGTAGGTAGGTAAGTAGATGGATAAATTATATTTATTTTTGGATTGACTGATAGATAGATTGATAGATAGACAGACAGGCTCATTTCTCTCCGAAAAATCCTATCCTAGCTATATTTTACCTTGTTCACGTCAGCATATTTTCAATTTTGATCTATTATATTTGGCCCGGCCATTTTTAAAATTGTTTATGTAACTATTGATTGTTTTTTGTTTATGTGATTTATATGATTTGTATTTTATTGGTTGTTTATTGATGTTGTGTTTATTGATGTTTTGTTTGATGTACTTTGGGCTTGGCCTCATGTAAGCCACACCGAGTCCCTTGGGGAGATGGTAAAGGAGTACAAATAAAGATTATTATTATTATTATTATTATTATTATTATTAGATAAATAGATAGACTTAGATAAATAGACAGATGAACAGATAGATGGATAGGTAGGTAGATGAATAAGATATTTATCTTTGTATTGACAAATAGATGAATAGATAGATAAATAGATAGACTTAGACGGATGGATAGACTGGAAGGTAGGTAGATCGATAAGTTATATTTATCTTTGGATGACAGATAGACAGACAGACATAAATGAATGGATAGACAGACAGATAGATTGATATGTAGGTACGTAGATGGATAAGTTATTTCAATATCAAATGTTCATATGTCATTTGAAAATAATATAAAATAAAAACATAAATAAATAAACAAACCTGGTAATAATTCAATATGGATGGATGGGTATGTGCCCTCAAGTCTCCTGTAGATTTACGTTGATCCATGAATTTCACATGAGTTTCTTAGGGTGTATCTACACTGCAGAATTAAGGCAGTTTGATACTCCTTTTAATTACTATGGTTTGAAGCCATAGTGCTATGGGGGTTGGAGTTTTACAAGGTCTTTAGCCTTTTCTGCCGAATAGTACTTGGTTCCATAGGACAGAGGCAAGGAATATTTAGAATATCCATTGGCTGCAGGCCCTGAGATTTTTGTGGGTGAGCAGGTATTTGAACACTTGTCCCCAAAGTCATAGTCTAGTATTCAACTGTCTACACAATTCCCTATTTGTGTGGAAATAATTAAGGAAGAGTTCCACTAAGTGTGATAAGGAAGTTATAATAATGGCCCAATGGGTCATATTTGGCTTGCCCTGGCTGTGTTTGCAACAGGTGCTGAATGTGTCTCACCAGTACTGTACGATATTGCCCAATATGGGTTTGTTTGCAGATTTGCATGGGTGTGTCTCACAATGATGTTGAATTTATCTAATAGATTGCAGCGATGTGAACAAGTGATGGTAGGGTTGTACTAGCCCAAGGCCATTACAAAAAGCTATAAAATGTAGAGAACACTGTTCAGAGTAAATATAGAATACAAGCATATGAAATACAAGTATACATGAATTTAAAGATACTACCCTTTGGTATTTTTGGGTTTGTAAGATATGTACCTGCACTATTACATTAAGCTCTTGGAGGATCAAGTTGTGGATAACATTTTCTGTGTTTGGAGCTGTTTTTATAGAAAAGTACACGTCACTTGATTCAACATTTCTTTAAGGTAGGAGATGATAAAACTATTTTATGTTTATTTATATCCCCCCTTTTCTCTTCACAAAGGAGACTGGAAGCAGCTTACAATAAAAGCATTTCAATACAAGTTAAAATCCAAAAAAATACAAATACTAAAAATTAAACATAAATGGTTTTAATTAAAAATTAACAGTTAAAATACTTATACTACACCCTCATTGTTACTTTTTAGTTACGATATCTCCTATTTCCATTTTTTTCTTATAGGTAACAGATGTGCACATCAGTAAGTTTCACAGTCCTTCCCGAGCACCTGATTTTGAAAGATTCTGTAGGGAAACAATTCCTGTAATTCAGCCTGCCCTTACTTTAGCAACAGGTAAGATGTTTCCCTTATTCCCATTTCTCACTCCAGTTTCTTTGGTTACTATGATACTCAATAATTGAGATACTGAGACAGAGAATAACTATATGTAATACAGATTTGCTGGACGTAGGATCCCTATGAAAGCGAAAAACTACAAATAAAGAAATTGCTAAAAAGATTTTGCCAGAAAGAAAAGCTCCCTTGGTATTTCTAGGTCCTCCAACAGAAGTTGAACATAGAATCACACTGGAGGACTTTGAGAGAACATTAAAATTCATGAAAACTCACATTCGCAAAACTTAAGCTCACAAATGTGGAGGGACAACTGTAAAAGTTGAAGTCTAGTCACCAAAGGAATGACTGGAATGAATCCAGGGGGGCTGGAGCTGAACTCTGTTATCAGTCACCATTCCTGCCCTCCTTGTTTTGCCACAGCTTGATTAGTTACGGCTTTACCTCATACTGATTTCATGTGGTATTTGGCTTTTAGCACATGGTTGTTGGGAAAGGAAGCCTCTTGCTTCAGGCACTCAAAAGTCGAGAAGGAAGAAAGCTCTTGCACATGGAAATTAGAATTGGGTCCCAGTTTAACCTCTTCGTTTTGATCCTAAAAACTCACAACAAAAAAATTACAATTGAGCCCAACTTATAGTTACGGCGCAAATCTGTACAGTCCCATACTGAGATTTCTTTCTTTGTTGCACTAAACTGTGTTCAATTCTGGGCACTGCAATTTAAGGGAGAGGTTGACAAGCTAGAATGTGTCCAGAGGAGGGCAACTAAAATGATCAAGGGTCAGGAGAACAAGCCCTAAGAGGAGCAGCTTAAAGAGCTGGGCATGTTTAGCCTGCAGATGAGAAGGCTGAGAGGAGACATGATGGCCATGTATAAATATGTGAGGGGAAGTCATAGGGAGAAGGGAGCAGGCTTGTTTTCTGCTCCCCTCGAGACTAGTACATGAAACAATGGCTTCAAACTACAGGAAAGGTGTGTCTTTGCAGCTCGGGAGCAGGGTAAAAATTCTCTAAATAAATAAACTAAATTGTTGCCTTCAAGGGGCCATTGAATCCGTGGATGAAGACACAGAGGACCAGCCATAAAGTTTTTACATAGTGGTCAGTACTTTTTTTTAGTTTTTACGCAGTTTGCATCCCCAGAAGTTATTAAATGACAACTCCCAACATTTTTTATTATTTGCCCTGCGGATTGGGATAATAGGAGTTGCAACCCAACTGCAGTTGTAGCTCTGAGGTTGGGGAAAGGTTAAAGGACATTTTAAAGTCAGAAATCATATCCACGAGCCTTGTATCTAAATTCAAACCCCCAAATCCTTACTAAATAGAACAGACTGCAGGCTTCCAGATGTTACTGTATCATAACTCCCATCAGCTCTAGTCATGATGTCTAATGATGAACAGAAGAGTTGTAGTCTGGCAGCTGGTGGACCACATATAATGACTTGACAGGTAAGATTCGACCTGTGAGCTTTAAGTTTGACACTTGTGCACTAAAGTCTGAGAAAATAGTGAAGTGAAAGTCCTCTCCTTTTGCATATTTTGTTGAAAAGAAATGCAGGGTTATAATAATTTAATCAGGATCAGCAATTCTTAAGTTCAGTATTCAAATGTCCAGTTGTTAGAACTTTTATTTTGTTTCAGTTCCCTTTTCTAATGTACAATGACTGTATTCTGTATTTTCTGCAGCATATGTTCTGTGGCTCTGCTCTGTTAATTCACAGGTGACTTAACTGATTCCAAAACGAAGAATACACTTGGGTCTGATCAGTTTGAAGAAGAATGGCAGACATACCAGACTGTCTTAAAGAGATCGAGGGTCATGGAAAAAACTAAGTGGATAGACATAAAAGGGAATCATGGTAAGAAAGAGAAAAGACCTTGAAGATTTTTATTCTGTTTCTTCTCCAACAGTGAAAGTGGGGGGACCGCAAATAGTTGTATTTTTCTGTATATCTTAACTTTAAACTATTTTCAAAAAACATTTTTGACTGAAAATAAAATGGACATAATCTTTTAACTCTTACTATCTAATAATCTATTGCCCCATGAAGCACAATAATAAACTGTTGCTGTGAGTTTTCTGGGCTGTAATTCCATTTTCACGTTTTGCTGATATCTATGGCAGGCATCCTCAGAGGTTTTGTGGTCTGTTGGAAACTAGGCAAATGAGGTTTATATATCTGTAGAATGTCCAGGGTGGGAGAAAGAACTCTTATCTGTTTGAGGCAAGTGTCAATGTTGCAATTGGCCACCTTAATTAGCAGCTTCAACGCCTGGCTGCTTCCTGCCTGGGGGAATCCTTTGTTGGGAAGTGTTAGCTGGTCCTGCTTGCTTCATGTCAGGAATTCCCCTGTTGTTTGAGTGTTTTTCTTTATTTACGGAGTTTTTAAATACTGGTAGCCAGATTTCATTCATTTTCATGGTTTCCTCCATTCTGTTGAAATGGTCCACATGTGTTTGTGTATTTCAGTGGCTTCTCTGTGTAGTCTGACATGGTGGTTGTTAGAGTGGTCCAGCATTTCTGTGTTCTCAAATAATATGTTCGTTCATCAGATGCTCTGCTATGGCTGACACCTGTGGTTGAATTAGTCTGCAGTGCCTTTCGTGTTCCTTGATTCATATTTGGGCAATGCTGCATTTGGTGGTCCCTATGTAGACTTGTCCACAGCTGCATGGTATCCAGTAGACTCCTGCAGAGGTGAGAGGATCCCTCTTGTCCTTTGCTGAATGTAGCATTTGTTGGATTTTCCTAGTGGGTCTGTAGATAGTTTGTAGGCTGCGTTTCTTCATCAGCTTCCCTATGCACAATTATTGGCACTCTAAATCAGATTTCAGGCAGATATCGCAACACTATTCAACTTGTTTCTTTCCTCATATCTGTCTGGAATTCCACAGAGCTACAAATGCAGTTGTATCGATAGTGCTTCACATCTCAGCATTCCAGAGTAAAACAAGGACATCCACGTGTTTGCCAACTCTATACTTCAGAAAATCTCTTAGCACATTTGAGAATCCATCAGATTCCATTAGTATCTGGTTCTCCCCTGTCCCCAGAGGCTGAGATTGGCATCCTGAGTCATCCTGCATCAGGAAATGGACTATTTGTGGCTATGACACTGTTTGGACAGCCTTCTCTCCAGCTCTTCCATCTTACAAGTGGGGGCAAAAAAAAAATCTCTGATAAGACCTGCATTCTGAGTGGAGCTGAAGGAAATTGCAGATAGAGACCATAAAGGATCACGGAGTCCTTTAAGTTGTAAGATGATCCACTAGAGGCCGCTTGAGTATGAATAATACACATTTTTCCCAGGACTGCTATTCTGGGTTCCTCTAATAGTTTGACTGAGGATCACATGTGACAGTTCAGTTAAGAAAATACTGAAACCCCAATGTAGTCTGGTCCAGTGGAATAAAAGAGGCTTTTTGAAAGACGACATGAGCTCCATCATGGCAACCCCACTGCTTGCTTCTTTCCAGCATGTACTGATCCAATGACAAATAACCTACCACTCAAAAACATGATGAGAGCAATTCCCCTTAGCTTATATATCCATGTACAAGGACCAGTGTACAACTTCCGCTTGAAGCTGACCATAATGGCACTTAAGGAGTTAAGTGTTTCTTACAGTTGTTTTCTCTTTAGAAATCGCTATGTCCTCCAGCATGACCAGAGGAAGTTGCTGAAGTACCAAGATTCCTAGAGAGTACATTTTAACCAAATCCACAAATAATCAAATTCCAAAAAGGCAGAACTGCAAATGTGGAGGGGCAGCTCTGTTCCCCACAAAGCCTTTCTTTCTCCCTTGACATATCTCCCTTTACCACTGATCACTTCTGTAGAGCCACTGCCTTCTCACTGTTGTTGTAACTAAAACATATCCTTATGCCTTACCCCTTTATCTATTTAATATATCCTCTTTTTCTTCACATGGTATTCAAGGCAGCTTTCAAACACACATTCCATGACTCTGAAGAGTCCATCCATCCAACATGCAGTGATCAAACAAAGATCCAAATACCATGGCCCCCCACTCTTGACTAATATCAAGGAAGTGGCTCCTCAGAAGACTTCCAGACAAGGAAGTAGACAGAGTTGGCGAAACCCTCAGCTTTTCTATTTGTCAGTAGTCTCCTGCTTCAAACCTTTTGGGAAATGGCATTCATAATCCTTTGGGGAAAACAGGAATCTCCACAGGCTTTTGGAAGTGTGATCCTTTTGGAGATTAATAGGCATTCACACTATTTGTAATAATCATAACCTTTTGGAAAGTCATGACCTTGTTAGAGAGCGTAAACTTGTAAAGTATGATCTTCCCAAGAACAGTTAAACTGGCTTGAGTAAACCTTCTCCTTTGTGGTAAATATCCACTAATATTCATGCAAGACATGAATACTAGACTGATACACCTAGATATCTCCTTGGACTGTTAGGGACAATGATATGCCAATGCAAAAAAGCAGAGTTTCAGAAGGGATCTTTTCAATTGCTCAAAAACATCTACTCTCCCTTAAAACATCTTAATTTAATTCATGCTCTCAAGAGACAAAAATAAGTATTCTTCATTAAAAGTAACATATCTGGTTTACTCACAAACCTCATGTATTCAGCATACAGGTACATTTCTTATCAATCCAGTTACAGATAGGATTTGAAGTGGTTTCTCTGTACAGATAACACCAGGCATCTGTGTTATCAGCAGAGCATCTCTAAAGCATCTCTCTGTTCTGAGGGTTCTGAAAGTCTAATGGCATCTGAGATCTGAGGAAGTCCCAGATCTGATCACATGGTCCGTAGTCCCTCCCACAACATAAGAGTTAAGGAAAACTGTATACCAATACACACAGACACAAAACAGTAAGCAATCTGAATTATATATATAAAACAAAGAACTAGTATAGGAGGTTTGTAGAAGGTTGCTGTAAAGGTAAAGGTTTCCCCTTGACATTAAGTTTAGTCGAGTCCGACTCTGGGGGTGATGCTCATCTACATTTCTAAGCCGAAGAGCCAGTATTGTCCGCAGATGCCTCCTAAGTCTTGTGTTGGAGCGCATTCCCTTCCTGCCCAAGCAGTATCTGTTGATCTATGTACTCATATTTGCATGTTTTTGAACTGCTAGGTTAGCAGAAGCTGGGGTTAACAATTGGAGGTTCACCCCGTCCCATTCCAAAATTACACATTTACTAGAAAATCTCCATCTGAATAGGTTGCAAAAATCCCTTGGCTGAAAGTGCATTGATTGTTCTGTAGATCTGTTGACTATTTATCCTACTCATTTATTTGAGTAGGATAGTTTTTCTGTGATTTCACAGTTTCCTACTTGAAATGTAAGTATTCTGTTGCTTGTTCTATATTCCCATATTGTGGTATCTAGAACATCTCATTCCATGTTGTGACTAATTGCAGAGCAGGCAACAAGCTTTGTATCCTCATTCCTAGCAAATGAAATTATTTCTGAACATTAATTTTGCACAGTCTTGCTGCCCAGATCAGGCTAAAACAAACACTGATCCTCCTGTCTTAAGTTTATACTACATTGCATATTGATTAACTTAGCTTCCCCCCCCCCCCCCATTTCTGAATTTATCCTGACTTTGATTTGAAATATTATTTGTCATTTTACTTGCAGATACCTTCAACATTCCTCATCTAAAGAGTGTCAAGAATTACTACAGGTATGTCAGTATTCCTTGCTGCATTCAGAGGGCCAGAAGGAGGCTCGGTTGTATGGTGGACAGAAAGATTCTGTTCAGACAAGGTAGATATGTATTATGAAAAATAATTTTTATTAAAATAGCTTAGCAAATAAGCATGTAGGACGCAGTTAACCATCCTAGCCTTTGACTTGCCTATAGTGTTTCTCCTTCTTTTCAGTCACTCCAAATGCAATTTCTACCTCACTTTTTATGTTAGCCTTTTTGAGCAAAGAGAGAGACAGCATCCAATTATTGTATTTTTGCATTGGATAAACTAGTGCAAAATTGAGGATAAATGCAGTTCCATTTCCAGCACCTTTACCAATAGAGAAATCATAATAAAAAGAGGTACATATAATTGTCTGTTACATTTTCTTTGCTCCAGATATTTCTTACCTGTATATTCCCTTCTTGTTTTTGGCAGGAAATATTCCGGTTGGCAGAAAGATGGCTCCTTTCATTACCTTCACAGCACACCTTTTGGCAACTATTCTTTCATTTGTGTGGATGCAACTCTCAATCCAGGCCCCAAGAGGCCCTACAATTTCTTTGGGATATTAAATGCGGTAAGGTAGTTCGCCACTCAGGTGCATTAAAATGAAATGGCAGGTCCAGTATCGAGAGGCTAATTCCTAAACTGCACATAGTGATCATTCGCAAATCTGTGCTAGGCAAATATGAATTCTATCACTTTGTCTTCAATCTTACTACTTTTTACCCCATTCTTTACATTTTAATCCATTGATATATTCCGACATGTTCTGTGATGTGAAACAGAAGCCTATAAATAACCAGGACCTGAAGACCTGGTTATTTAAACAGGCTTTTGACAGTGATTAGTCCCTAGAATATGGATCTATCTCAATGGCAATACTCTCTTAGCTCATAGGAATGATTATGTTTTAATCTAATGCTTATATTTTAATTGCTGATTTTGTTATTTAGTTATGCTGTATTTCATGTGTTATATTGATTGGATGTATTGTTAATTGTTTATTTCATTTAGTGTATTTTACTCTACTGCACTTTGTATTATCTATGTTGTAAGTCAGCCTGAGTCCCCTGGGGAGATAGGGCGGGATAGAAATAAACTATTATTATTATTATTATCATCATCATCATCATCAGACAAAGGCTTCTTTATTCAACTGGACTTTTTCCACACTAGAAGTGTTTCTAGGATTATAGACTGTGACCTATAACTTACTGGCAGTCCTAATGGAAATAGACAAATTTAATAATCATCATCATCATCATCACACTGGGTGCAGTGCCTAAAGACCTTGGTCTGGACACTTAAACACAATCGGTGCTGACAAAATTACTATCTGTCATCTGCAAAAGGCCACCCTACTCAGATCTGCACGCATTATTCACCAATACATCACACAGTCCTAGACCCCTGGGAAGTGTCCATTTTGTAATCCAATACAACAGCCAGCATAGTGATCTTGTTTGCTGTGTACTAATCTTGTTGTGTTTCAAATAATAATAATAATAATAATAATAATAATAATAATAATAATAATAATAATAATAAATTTCTTACCCACCACTCCTCTTGGATTGATTTAATGGCTGTATGATGAGTTAACACTTATGTAAACAGGATTGCTATAGTTGGGACTAACGAAAGGACAGACATATATCTGACTGTATGAATGATTATGCAGCTTCAGTGTTTGAAAGAGCTGTTGTTTGAAAGTGTTTGAAAGGGCTTTGAGATCAACAGGGGAGGCCCTTCTCAATGTGATGTGGCGGCAAAAAAAGCCAATGGGATTTTGGCCTGCATCAATAGGAGCATAGTGTCTCATTCTAGGGAAGTAATGCTCCCCCTCTATTCCGCTTTGGTTAGACCACACCTGGAATATTGTGTCCAATTCTGGGCACCACAATTCAAGAGAGATATTGACAAGCTGGAATGTGTCCAGAGGAGGGCGACTAAAATGATCAAGGGTCTGGAGAACAAGCCCTATGAGGAGCGGCTTAAGGAGGTGGACATGTTTAACCTGAAGAAGAGAAGGCTGAGAGGAGATATGATAGCCATGTATAAATATGTGAGAGGAAGCCACAGGGAGGAGGGAACAAGCTTGTTTTCTGCTTCCTTGGAGACTAGGACGAGGAACAATCGCTTCAAACTACAAGAGAGGAGATTCCATCTGAACATGAGGAAGAACTTCCTGATTGTGAGAGCCGTTCAGCAGTGGCACTCTCTGCCCCGGAGTGTGGTGGAGGCTCCTTCTTTGGAAGCTTTTAAACAGGCTGGATGGCCATCTGTCAGGGGTGATTTGAATGCAACATTCCTGCTTCTTGGCAGGGAGTTGGACTGGATGGCCCATGAGGTCTCTTCCAACTGTTTGATTCTATGATTCTATGATTCTCTTGGTTCCACCACTATATCAAACGCATTTGGTGGAGACGAGGGAGAGGGCCTTCTCTGTAGTGGCTCCCTGGCTCTGGAATACCCTCCCAAAAGAGATTAGGTAAACCCCCACCCTTGAATCCTTCCGATCCAAAATTGATTTTTAAGCAGGCTTTTGGCCTCGAGTAGGCTGAAATTAACCCATATGAGGTAGATACTCTGGCACTTTAGTTGTGAATTGATGGCATCTAGTTTTAGTTTGATCTGCATTTTTAAGTTGTGTTATTTTATTTTATGTCAATAGTGGTTGTTTTATAACTTTTATGTGATATTGTTTTATACTCATGTACCGTTTATGTTATATTGCACATGCAGTGTCTTGTAAGCCGCCCCAAGTCTCTTTTGAGAGATAGTGGCAGAACATAAATAAAGTTTATTATTATTATTATTAATATTATTATTATTATTGTTTTATTTCATTTTTAGTTTATTCTTTTCATACTTCAGGCCAAAGGTGCATTAGAATTGATAACGCAATTATAGTTGAGAACTGCCCATATGGTAATATCTACTAGCACTTCAGAATATGGCTGTAAAAAAGGGGTGATGTGAATATAATTTTTTGTGGAAAAATACTACAAAAATATTCTAATATCCTCCAGAATTATATTTTATAATGCTGAGGAAGATTAGTCATTATCACTTGTGGGAGGGTGCAGTTCAAGGCATAAATCCAGTGTATGTCATATGGAAACCAGTCAAAGATCTATGAAAAAACATTGTGTCCCTTTTTAGATAGAGATTCAAAGCTGCTAAATCTTAGTGCATACCATGCCACTAAAGCTCTTGGAATTAATCCTTATTTCAGGCTCAAATGCAAGAGTTATCTTTATTGGTTGCAGAAAGTCATAGCAGCAACCACACCATCTGGTTTGGTCACTATCCCACCTCATCAATTATCTCTGCTTCTCCAGGAATACGGATGGCAATGAGGTAAGAATCTTTTTTTGTTCCTCTGGTGAGAATGTTTTAATTTTTCCACCTGCTGCTTTTAGTTTTTAACTGGCTGTCCATTAATTTTTTTTCTTTAAAATCACTAATATTTATACTATTTTGCTTAGCTCTGCTACAGCTTATTTCTGTGGGCACTTTCATACGGTGGGCGGTCTGTTGCCAGTCCTACACACTCGTCACCATCATGGTACTTTAGAACTGGAACTTGGAGACTGGAAGGATAATAGGAAGTAAGTGCATTAACAATAGAAAGGTAATACAAAGTGTGGGTGTCAGTGTTTATAGTTCCATTTTCATAGTAATGTGATATTAATAGGAGGATCATTTTTACTTGAACGTTCGTTTATCATCTAATTAAATCAGAGAACAGTATACAAGGAGAGTCTTACATATGTTTATGAAAGAGAAGGAATTGCGATATATGTAATCCCTGACCTACCAAGCAGCTGATTAGGACCATTCCTGTACAAACCAAGTTTTTTTATATATGTAGTCACACTTGGCCATCGTAGTCCATGCTCTTGTTACACTCCAAATAGACTACTGCAACATGCTCTTAATGGTGTTGCCTTTGAAGACTGTTCAGAAGCTTCAAGTGGTCCAATGGGCGGCAGCCAGATTCCTCCCTGGGGCAGCGTACAGGGAGCATACATCTCTCCTGTTACATCAGCTCCACTGGCTGCCAATCTGCTACTGAGCACAATTCAAAGTGCTGACTTTAGCCTATAAAGCCCTAAATGGTTCCTGCTCAGCTTACCTGTCTGAACATATCTCTATGATCTACCTCAGAGGTTAAGATCTTCTGGGAAGGCCCTGCTCTCAGTCCCACCTCTCTCGCAAGTGAGGCTGGTGGGAATGAGAGACAAGGCCTTCTCAGTGATGGCCCCTCAGCTATGGAACACCCTCCCCATCGAAATTAGAAATTGGCCCCCTCCCTCCTGACATTCAGGAAGAAAGTAAAAACATAGTTATGGGACCAAGCTTTTGGCTAGTAAGTCAGCGCAATACAAGAATATGGAATAGTGAAATGACTAATAGAACGGCCTTGGATCATAATTTTGGACGACAAAATTTAATAATTGATTTTAATATTTGATTTTAATAATTGAGTTTAATAATTGTTTAATAATTGATTTTAATATTGATGATTTTTTTTTGTTTTAATGTATTTGTTCATTTTATTGTATGTATGTTTATGGCATCAAATTAATGCCTTTCTGTAAGGCCGCTCTGAGTCCCCTTCGGGGTGAGAAGGGCAGGATATAAATGTAGCAAATAAATAAATAGTAAATAAATAAATAGTGTTATCACAGCTACCCAACCGTAAATGATATTTATAGTACTCAAACAGAAAGATCACTGTCAACTTGCATATCTTTAGGAATGTGATTGTGCTTCTGCATGGGGGGAGATTGAACTGGATGGCCCTTGTGGTCTCTTCGAATTCTATGATTCTATATATAAAATATATTCCATTTCTGTGTCTATTTTCCATACACACACACACACACACAAACACACTTTTATACAAACGTTTCTATTTTACATAAATATACGAAATATGAGATATTTTAACAAGAGTGTCTGGTAAACAGCACAGCTTAAGTTTTCCATTATGCTGACGTCAAGTTAATTTGCTCAGTGAACAATCTGAGTTGAGCAGTTTTCTAGAAAACTGAGGAATTGGAGGTGCCTCAGAAAGTAAGTATACAACTTTCCTTATTGAGAACATTGCTTACAGAAATTATTTTAATTATTGAATATAGGTATCGGATCTTTGCATTTGATCATGATCTCTTCAGCTTTGTTGATGTGACATTTGATGAATGGCCTGTAGTTCTTATCACCAATCCCAAGCCGTATCTTTATAGTAGTTCTGCTCACGAACCACTACAGAGAATACTTCATTCTACACACATCAGGTCTGTGCTTTGAATTATTTTAAGATATTATTTTGTGTATATGTGATTCTATATTTGCATATTTACATAGTAATATTCTGTAATAAGGCTTTTGAATTTGAATATGCTCTGAAAGGAAAAGTAATTATGGCTCTTTTGTTAATCTGTATTAGGATAATTATTTTATTTGAAACTTGGAAAAAGAAGTATCAAATTCTACAGTAAAGCAAGCTTTTGTGTCTTCTTCAGAAACTGTATTTTTTTCCAAAACCATCTCTGTTCCTCTCTGCTGGTCAGAATTATGTGAAAATATGCACTATGTTACACTTCAATGCCAATATTTTACAGTCTTATATGAGGGGAAATAATGTAATTTATTTTATTGGGGTTGTGATAGTGTTATCTTAATAACACCCACAATGTATTGGTTTATTTCTTTTACTAGGATTTTGGCCTTTTCTCCCTCTTACATCAATTCTGTCAAAGTCAGTATTGATGGTGTTAATCTGGGAAATGCTGTTCAGGTATCCGGACAACTCTATGTACTGAAGTGGACTCCCCAGAATTACAGTCTAGGCTTTCATCAGATAGAAGTGGTAGTTCAGGTGAGCTCCCTGCTGCTTTTATCCTTTTATCATATGTTTAATAACCTTAATTGAAATATTATTATTTTTATTAATTTTATTTATACCCTGCCTTTCTCCCAGTGGGGACTCAAGGCGGCTAACAATCCCGCACTTTAGTCGAGTTTATAAAGCACAATACAAAAGTTTAAAAACAATTACATAATACAGTGTGGGAAAAATAGATTAAAATATAATAAAACTATTGAAATTGCCTTTAAAACTCACAGTCCCCCTCCTCCCAGCATTTTAAGAGCTGGAAAAAGTAGCCCGATTCCATGACATTCAGTGAGTCACTTTAAACAAATAATGAAACTCAGGATGCAGCTGTACAAATAGAAGTAGGCTTAAATCTAATACAAAACTCCAAAAATATTTTTGGGGAGTGGACTGCATCTAGTCAGTCCCCCAGCTTATCTGACAATTGACCATAATGGTTAAGGGGCTTTGGGACTGTTAGTCCAAAAAAAGTAATTATTTCAAACTCCAGTCAAGTGTTTCTCAAACTTTTTGATTCTTTTTAGAATCAGTTTCTATGTACGCGACAGGTCAGCACCCCATTCATCCTCGTCATCTGTCCATCTTGCACTACAATAATTTTGAAGCTAGTGGTAGCAGAATGACCAAGCGTCCTCTGCTAGAGGAGGCACAAAATTCAACTTGGCAAATTTCTGTTCAGAATATAATTTCTAGTTTTCTTAGTTTGATACTATTTTTATATCTTGTTCTTTAATTTAATTCAATTTTTATTTATTTTGTTTTCCTAGAGCAGCTCTGGAATCTCTGGGAAGTGTATGCGGAGCCCTTAGAGCTCTGTGGAGCACAGGGTGGAAACTAGTCCAATGGTTTTCAACCTGTGGGTCCCCAGGTGTTTTGGCCTACAATTCCCAGAAATTCCAGCCAATTTACCAGCTGTTAGGATTTCTGGGAGTTGAAGGCCAAAACATCTGGGGACCCACAGGTTGAGAACCACTGCTCTAGTCTAAAGATGGGAATCAATAGCAACACATGCAGTTCTTGCTAACAGTGTCTTTGAATCAGAGCAAATTTGTGGTTTGCAGAAAATCAAGGCAATGTGCAGTGGCAACTCACACTAGTGGTGGAAACTCTAGTGCTGAGCGTGAGGTAAATATTGGTGACAAGATCCATTGGGGGCTATCATTCAGAGTGGCAGTAACTGTTGGCAACAACACCTAATATTAAAAAGCAAGCACTCTTGTCAAACAAAATGCCTCTTGATTCCCTGTAGCATCACAGGAGGCTCATCTGTACCTACACTAGAATCCAGGACCAGTCCAGAGTAGCAACATTCTGGCCCAGAGTAGCAACATCACACTGTGGTAATGGCATGAAGTCCAGATGGTCTAGTGTGGACACCCTCAAACTGCAGTCCTCCTGCTATTTGGGCTTCCAACTCCCAGAATTCCTGACCATTGACCAAGCTGGTTAGGGCTTCTGGGAGTTGGGTGCCAAAATAGTTGGAGGGCCGCAATTTGAGGATGCCTGGTCTAGTGGGACTGAAACTGGTTCTGCCCCACTAGACCATTACCTCATATTTATTGCTATTCTCAAAGCTCCATGGCCATCTGCCACAGCAGAGTTGGGGGAATACAGGTCTGATCCATCCTCTTTTCCTTGCACTATGAAGTGCAGGGAAAAAGAGTTGGTGGTGTCAGCCCACGTGGACAGTGGATTGGAACCAGTGGTTTGGATTGGAATTATTCATACTGTTACACTCACCCCAAGTGTGGAGCATTCCCCAACCTCGCTTAATGCAGGGTTAAATTGAGTCAACTCATTTTACCCTGTTAACTTTGGTCCACTTTGGCTTCTATGGCCAGAGTGGCACTACATCACAGCCAAGGCCCAGAGCCATTGTGGGAGATGACTGTGGCACCTTCTATCCTAAGGCCCAATGTTTCATTCAGTGTTAAAGGATAAAGCTAGTGAGATAAGCAGAGCTAGTGTGGTTTGTGGGGAGCATTTGAGAGTCCTTGATCTCAGCATTTGTCTAAAAATGTCAGTGATGATGCTGTTGCAGAAATATCTCAGGTTTATTCCAGGAGGATATGGCTTTTATTTTTGCACCTGGGAACACTATTACAATGGGGATAAACGGATAGTCCACCCTGAAGTAAGTGTCCAAGCCTTTGATGTCAGGCATCCTATGATCAGGAGCCCCTGGTGGCACAATGGGTTAAATCCTTGTGCCGGCCGGACTGCTGACCAAAAGTTTGGTGGTTCAAATCCGGGGAGTGGGGTGAGCTCCCGTTTGTCAGCTCTAGGTTCTCCTGCAAGGACATGAGAGAAGCCTCCCACAGGATGGTAAAACATCAAACAACTGGGCATCCCCTGGGCACCATCCTTGCAGACAACCAATTATCTCACACCAGAAGCAACTTGGCAGTTTCTCAAGTCGCTCCTGACACAAAATGTCTATGATCATTCCAATAGACAAGTCTATCCATATGTAACTACTTAATGATGACATATATTTTGCCTTTTTTGTTCCTATTTTTAGGATGCCAGCGGTAGAAATACTACTCAGGTTCATACATTTGCTATGGAAGAAAACCTGTCTCTCAGTTTTGGCCTGGTTGCTTCTTGGCTTCTTCTTACTGACCATTATATATGGGTGAGTATTCCCATTAAAGATGAGGCCACATGATATATTCTTTAGAAACCCTTTTAAGAGGACTTTGTACCTTTTTACATGTTTATGAAACTTTTTTTATTAGACTTCATCTGTAAAACTAAGTTGACTGCATATACAAACACTTATTTTTTTATTTAAACATAACATTTTTCCTTTGTTCAACTTCATATAAATAAATAATCTAAATAATCTATCCTAGAATTATAAATGGAGGTTACATTATTTGAAAGCAAGTAATAGCATAGGATACAAAATATGAATTATAGATCTTATATTTGGCTGGGTTTTTGACAGTTCACCATGTGCAGGGCTTGATGAATGCAAGGCTGGGGTGAAAATTGCTGGAAGAAACATTAACAACCTTAGATATGCAGATGATACCACTTTGATGGCCGAAAGCGAGGAGGAGCTGAGGAGCCTTCTAATCAAGGTGAAAGAAGAAAGTGCAAAAGCTGGGTTGCAGTTAAACATAAAAAAAACCAAGATTCTGGCAACAAGAATGACTGGCAAATAGAGGGAGAAAACGTGGCGGCAGTGACAGACTTTGTATTTCTAGGTGCAAAGATTAGTGCAGACGCAGACTGCAGCCAGGAAATCAGAAAATGTTTACTTCTCGGGAGGAGAGCAATGACCAATCTCAATAAAATAGTGAAGAGTAGAGACATCACACTGGCAATGAAGGTCCGCATAGTTAAAGCATTGGTATTCCCTGTAGTAACCAATGGATGTGAGCTGGACCATAAGGAAGACTGAGCGAAGGAAAATATACGCTTTTGAATTGTGGTGCTGGAGGAAAGTTCTGAGAGTGCCTTGGACCACGAGAAGATCCAACCAGTCCATACTTCAAGAAATAAGCCTGACTGCTCATTAGAGGGAAGGATATTAGAAGCAAAGATGAAGTACTTTGGCCACATTATGAGAATACAGGAAAGCTTAGAGAAGACAACGATGCTGGGGAAAATAGAAGGCAAAAGGAAGAGGGGCCGGCCAAGGGCAAGATGGATGGATGGTATCCTTGAAGTGACTGGCTTGACCTTGAAGGAGCTGGGGGTGGGGACAGCCAACAGGGAGCTCTGGCATGGGCTGGTCCATGAGGTCATGAAGAATCGGAAGTGACTGAACGAATAAACAGCAACAATGACCTTGGACGTGTCTACAGACAACGTCGGCTCTTTGGCTTAGAAATGAAGATGAGCACCACCCCCCAGAGTTGGACATGACTAGACTTAATGTCAAGGGGAAACCTTTACTTTTACTTTTAGTATTTCACTATGCAATGGTATATAATGGGACTTCACCATTCACAGATTTTGGTATTTGTGGGGGGTTCCTGGAACCAAATCCCAGGAGATACAAGGGTCCCCTATATTCTCTTCAAATTTCTCCATTACAGTTTAAATGGGAGATTCTTACATGTACTATGAATGACATAACTACATTGTGAGTCTACAGTTTAGATTCTAGCCCATCTTACCTGGTAGTAAAATGACATTAAATGTAATAATATTTACTTCTGAGCAGGCATCCATGAACATAGCATGCATTGAAAAAACTGACATACACTCTTGTTCAGAATCAAGTGTCCTGAAATAGTGAAAAATGCTTGGTCTAGATTTAAAATGCTATGCAGTAAAAGCAGCTTTCTCATTTTTATTGAAATAACTTTCTTTAAACCAGTGGTTCTCAACTTGTGGGTCCCCAGGTATTTTTGGCCTACAACTCCCAGAAATTCCAGCCAGTTTACCAGATGTTAGGATTTCTGGCAGTTGAAGGCCAAAACACCTGGGTATCCACAGGTTGAGAACAACTGCTTTAAACTGTACTTTATATTTTAAAAATATAAAACTACTGTCATCACATATATGTGTGTGTGTGTGTGTGTGTGTGTGTAATGGAACAGTCACAGGAGGTATAACTCCCCAGAAAACTGCTGGAGAAAAAACATTTCAATTGTTTCCAGAACTCTTGCCATTATTAAGAATAATAATTAAAACAGATGGAAAACATCATGACGTTGGATGTGTGGAGGCATATCTGTTGAATTCTAGCCATTTTTAGATCTGTTGTCTTTAGTAATCCTGAAATACTGATAAAAGCTCTTTTTTCTGCAACTTTTTGTCTGGTGTATTTGGCAATCCAATCCCTTCACATATTTTCTGTTTCAGGTTCGAACGCTGTTCATTTTAGCAGCTCTAACTCAAATTCTCTTGCTGATTATTTTCCGATATCGAAGACCACCAATATTAAAACGTAAGAGATTTGGTTTTCTAATTGGGGAGGGAGGATGTAAAGCTTACCTTTTGGGTCCCTAATCATTATCCCAAGTTTATTGCAGCTCCAGTTACATTTATATAGAATTGGACTGTATTGTATTAGTGCAGCTATAACAGGCTTGGACAAACTCCAGCCCTCCAGGTGTTTTGGACTTTAACTCCCACAATTCCTAACAGCCTACTGGCTGTTAGGAATTGTGGGAGTTGCAGCCCAAAACACCTGGAGGGTCAAATTTTGCCCAAGCCTGTTCTATAATGCACCTTTTCTCCAAGGCTAAGGCTAAAGGTTACTTATTATAGTGGTTCAGGCAACACTGGCATTGCTAGAAGTACTTCCTCCACACCCTATCAACGCCAGCTTTACTATAACTAAGCAGTAAAGTAGATTTGAGCAACATTCTTATCTTCACAATTATTGCTAAGGGAGAGAAAATGCCATGATTGCTATTTTTTTTCTGCAACAGAAATATCAAGAAAGCATGCGGGCTGCTATTTGTGAATTTGTAATTTACTAACTTTGATGGCACTTTTCAGTTTGTGAACAGGTCCTCAGTGTGTGTTTTTCAATTGTCTTTGCATTTTAGAACCTCTGGGCAAAGCAGTGCGGATCTCTTTTTCTCTTCACGTCCTGACTAAAATAAATTTATTTTATTACTCATTTCTGTGGCTGAGTTTGTATACTGTCATAGGTAAGGAATAAATAGCCCTCAAACTCCTCCATATCTAATTTAAAATAATTTTATAGTGTTCAGTGTCTTTTAAAAAAACAACTTTATATTTTCCATCTGAAAATATGTAAAATATGTAATATTTTGTAAATATGTAAAATGTGTAATATTCCGTGGCCATACAGCCCGGAAAACTAACAACAACCCAGTGATTTTGGCCATGAAAGCACTCGACAATACATTGAAGATTTCTATGGGGAGAAACTGTTCAAAGACACATGGAAATTGGAAAAATATAAAAATCAATGCAAAGCTTATGTAGTACTGTGATACCACTTTATCCTCTATGACGCCATTCTGTGAAATCCCGAGACTTAATAGTTTCTTAGGTTATTTTAGATTTCCTCCCAGTGCCTTACCAAAGTACAAATAAGGTGCAGGACGCAGTCATGGCACTAACAACTTTATGGCCCAAAACTACTATCCCCTAGATTACATAGGCCTGCCAATTTACCAGGACGATCTCTCCTGGAATTGCACATCTTCTGGTTATGTAATAGTGACGCTTCACTTCTCCATGGTCCTGAATCCATATTTCCTGTCGAGGGTAACTCCAGCCACCTGCAGTTCCCCTCCTTCGTAATTTTGTATTTCAGTTATTGTTTGCAAAGCAATATGTGTGTTTCAGCATTAAGGAAAACCTTTATTCTGTAATTACTGGGAAAGTGGGAGGGGAGCATGCTAGCACAGAGGCGACTGGGGATAATTGTATCAGGTAATTTTGTGGCACGATTGGAGTTTTGTCATCAACAGAAGCGATGGTCCTGCTTTTATGCCAGTTTGCCACCTTGATACAATACAATCATTAAAGTGGTATCAGAGTGCTATAATTGTGTATGGTGCATGCTGTTCAAAATCCTACATATGGAATAGGGTGCCACTTATCAGATGACATCATTACAAAAGTGTCTTATCCAATTAGCTATTTTAAAGTACTGTTGTAAATGTATGCAAGTGAGACTGGAATAAATAATTGTTAAAGCTCATTGAGGCCAACATGAAATTACAGTCAGTATAACTTTCTCTCCCCTCAGGGCCCTGGTTTATTGGTGAGATTATAGATGGTCATATAGGCGCCTGTTTTTCCTTTGGAGTATTTGTTGGTGGTCATTTCTTTGAAGGCAGCATCACATTCCTCATTGGACTTGCACAGGTAGGATTTCAAGTATGACTTCTGGCTTTAAAAAATTCTCAAGATTTAGGCATCTGACAGATAATGCAGTCATGGTGGTCAAAATATTTGTTTTGTTGACAGCTGAGTGTAATATGCATTGAATAATGGATTTAGTAGGCAGCAGGGCTTTGGACAGCTTGTTTGTAACAAATTCCATTCCCTAGATGGCCAGGAGAAGCAATGCACTACTACTGGGTTTCACCCCCGCACCCAATATCAGATCATAGGAATAAGGGAGAAGTATTTATTTGAAATATGTATAGCCTGCATTTTGGCTACATATAACTTTAATAGGATGGGGAATGTGGTGGCGCAGTGGGTTCAACCACTAAGCTGCAGAACTTGCTGACTGGAAAGTTGGCGGTTCAAATCCACGGAATGGGGTGAGTTCCCATTGTTAGCCCCAGCTTCTGCCAACCTAGAAGATTGAAAACATGCAAATGTGAGTAGATCAATAGGTACCAATTCTGCGGGAAGGTAACGGCTCTCCATGCAGTCATGCTGGCCACATGACCTTGGAGACATCTACGGACAATGCTCTTCAGCTTAGAAATGGAGATGAGCACCACCCCAGAGCTGGATTCAACTAGGCTTAATGTCAAGGAGGAAACCTTTACCTTTACTTATATCCTAAATAAATATAAATAAAATATAATAAAAGTATGCTAAAATCATAGCAAAAAAACCCGAAGCAAATAATTAAAAACAAGAACAGAAGTGAACTGATAGTTGCAAGATCTGAACTTGAAACCATTCATGGCATTGATCAGAGAGTGCTCCTTCTGAAAAAACTCTCTCCAAGTCAGTTTTCTGAATGCAACTAGACTTTGATCAAAGCCTCTTGTGATGATTATAAAAATTTGGAAGAATTCTGAAATATAATTGTGCCCTAAACATTAGAGTCAGAGATGGCTTTTACCCCTTCAGTTTCCCAAAGCTAAAAACGGAACAACTATTTACATTGTAGACCCGGCATGGGCAAACTTCAGCCCTCTTGGTGTTTTGGACTTCCAACTTGCACAATTCCTATTAGCCTACTGGCTGTTGGGAATTGTGGGAGGGTTTTTTTTATCATGTCAGAATTGACTTGAGAAACTGCAAGTCACTTCTGGTGTGAGAAAATTGGCCGTCTGCAGAGACGTTGCCCAGGGTATGCCCAGATGTGTTACTATCCTGTGGGAGGTTACTCTCATGTTCCCGCATGGGAAGCTGGAGCTGACAGATAGGAGCTCACCCTGTCTTCCGGATTCGAACAGCCGACTTTCAGGTCAGCAGTTCAGCCGGCACAAGGGTTTAATTGTGGGAGTTGAAGTCCAAAACATCTGGAGGGCTGAACTTTGCCCATGCCTGTTGTAGAAATGTTGCAAGGTATCCCACAGGTTTAATCATTTTTTGAAAATATCTTATTAAAAATCTGAAGTGGACCTCTTACCAGTTGAAGTTTTGTTTTGGATTTTTTTTTGGCATTTTTTGGCCATCTATATGGCCTTATAAGGCCTTAGAAGCAGAAAACTGCATCTAGCCTGAAAACAGTTGCCCACTCTTGTTGATTGCAAGGCATTGCTTCTTTTTCCCCATAGGGAAAGACCTGCCAGAATCGTACAAGGAAATAAATAGTGTGTGGTATAAAAATGAAGTAGGCAACTATGGGAGAACACTGAGTGCTTTGAATTACCCTGAGGACCAAACCATTTTCTCTCTGGCACCAGGTTTTCCTGCCCTTCCAGTTTTCCTTAGTCACCAGTGATCTCTATATAAGACCTACTTACAGAACCTGAAACTTGCTGACTCATGATTTTAGGTATTGCTGCTTGAACACTTTTGCAGACATAGTTTGTCCACATTCTCACTTAGACTATTTTCTCAGTAAGTTGTATATAGACTAACAACTTTTTTGTTTCTTTCTTTGGCAGATGCTGTTTTTTAACCTACCACTGATGGCATATACGTGTTGGTGTCTCTTTTTACGTTGCCAAGGGCATTGCTTTAGCTCCCACCTACGTCAAGTCAGATTGTGTTGGGTTGTGCCCATCCACTTCTGCATGTCAATCTTATTTTTCTGGCAGGTCTATTCCTGCTATTTCCTGCTGATGACATATGGAACTATGTCTTTTTTCCTCTCTCCCCTGAGAACTTGGGCAGTGACTCTAACCTTCTTCCTGTTCTACAGAACCTGGAGACTGCAGTCTTCCATGCTTAGAACTTTCATTTTGGAAATGAAAAACTACCAAACTTCATAATAGCAACTCTTCAGGCAACTGAAGAGCACTTTCTTTTAAAAGATTGTCACATGATGAAGCTGTGAATGATAGGTTTGTATGACCACTGTCCCCTCTACTGCTGTCCTGAAAATATGTCTGTGCTGTGAAATAAGGCTTTCAGAAGGTCAAGGCTGTAAGGAATCTACAGCATTCTGGAGCTACTAACTGCATTTGTTGACAGAAAGTTAGTTTGACTTGCTCTCATTTTAATACTAAACAAAGTTCACCAGTGGACTACTGTAATGAATTGTAACTGCTCTTCCTTTTCAATGTTTACACGTGTTGCACCATACCTAAACGTGGAACTACTTATTGCTTTGTCACTGATAACTGATACAGCTCTAGGACAAAGCTAAATAGCAAACAACGTATCTTCTCCCTGCTTTAGGCAGGCAAATCTATCACCATCATCACTTCATTTAAGGAGATACTTTTGAAATGGCCCAAGGAGTCCAAACTAGTTACTGTGAAGCCTTATTTTTTTTCTAAAAATTGAATATTTATTGCCCTTCAGCCACCTATTGTGTTTCACAACAGAGCAACATAAAATCAAAATGAAACGTAATAACTTTACCATCGTTTAAAAGCAATAGATTTATAAGGAAACAGAACATCTGCATATAATATAATTTAGTGCGGATATTAAACTTGTTGGACAAAACTTCCATTCTCCACCTCTGACTGAAAGAGGTTGTAGTCCCACAACATCTGTAAGGCCAGAAGGCCTATCTTTGGGCTACTCTTCTAATAGGAAAACGTAACAACAGTCAGACCACATGTGCAAAGGACTTGGCAGTAACTGGGGTGAAGGGGGGGGACGGACATTTTTTAATTGAAAATAATGTAATAGCTGCTGACTTTTCAGTGTGAGATGTAACGTTTGCTCTTAATTTTTAAACATGATGGGGGCCATTTGCTCTTTTATTTGTTTACATAATAGAAATTTTAAAAATATACTGCCAACAACTAAAAAGAAATGGTTTATTTTTGTTTCTTTAAGTACTGGTCATGCATGAGATTTTTCAATGCATTTCCAAGCTCTCACTGTACAAGTGCATCTTGAATATTTTATAGACGTGTCTTGTGACCATTAACTATGCTGGTTAGGGCTGCGCAAGGAGTTTTGCTCAAATGTCAAAAGGGTGCAGGTTGAGAGACATGAATATAGGAAATGCAGAATTTTCACTGAATAGTGCAGCCCCATCTCAACTGCTCTCTTTCTAACATCTGAACTACTTTGTTCTGGTGACCTGGCAGCTCTTTCAGCAGGAGACAATGAAGTGAGATGGAAAAATGCAGTGTCTTTCATATTAGCATGTGTACTTCCAAGTTGCCTGCCACTGTATGGCAACCTCATGAATTTCACCAAGTTTTCATAGCCAAGGAATGCTCAGCAGTTATTTACCATTGCTTTTGTATGAAGCACAGAGGCGGGGAAGTTTGAATGTGCATCTGCCTTTTTCAACAGCAGCCTTATGTTTCTTATAATAAACATCATTCTGCCTTTAATACCCATTTTGTAAGGACTTTCCTTTACCTTTACATTATTTCTTCTCCCTTATCCAATAAAGTTTACACCGTAAATAATTTGTGAGAAACATTTCACATATATATTTTGGAGTAACATAGCTTTTAATAGATCAACATAGTTAAAGCAATTGTATTCCCCGTAGTAACCAATGGATGTGAGAACTGGACCATAAGGAAGGCTGAGCAAAGAAAGATAGATGCTTTTGAACTGTGGAGTTGAAGAAAAATTCTGAGAGTGCCTTGGACCACAAGAAGATCAAACCTGTTCATACTCCAGGAAATAAAGCCTGACTGCTCACTGGAGGGAAGGACATTAGAGGTAAAGATGAAGTACTTTGGCCACATAATGAGAAGACAGGATACCTTGGAGAAGATAATGATGCTGGGGAAAACGGAAGGAAAAAGGAAGAGGGGCTGACCAAAGGCAAGATGGATGGATGTTATCCTTGAAGTGACTGGCTTGACCTTGAAGGAGCTGGGGTGGCAACGGCCGACAAGGAACTCTGGCATGGGCCCGTCCATGAGGTCATGAAGAGTCGGAAGTGACTGAATGAATAAACAACAAGCTTTGAATATACACCACAGAGTTATAAGGACCAAGTTACATGCTGCTCCCATTGTATAACATGTCCAGTGAAGTGTAGGAGAGAATAAGAGTCCTCCTACATGGTTTATGTAACTGGCCATGTATGTATGAACTGAAAAAGGGTATATCCTACTTGGCTAGTGTCTCCTCCCACCCACCTCTGCAATGCATGAGTGTGTGGGATGGAGGATATGTTTCTGTGCTGTCAGTATATCTGTATAGTATGTATGTAAAATGAAGTGTGTTCCTGCAACAATCGGTTAACAGAGCTTAAAGGCTTGGCCTGCAATGTTTCCTTTTTAGCAGTATCTCTTGAAATTATAGCATAATGGAAACTTAAATACAACAACCCAATTTAAATACAGTTTTCCCTCTATATTCAGGATCCCCCAGGGATTCCAAAATCTGTGGATGCTCCATTCCTATGATATACAATGGTGTAGTAAAATGGTATCCCTTATATAAAATGACAAAACCAAGGTTTGCTTTTTGGACTGTACAGGGGCTCCTTGGAACACACTTTGAGAACCTCTGGTATAAAGAATCAGTTTGCTAATGGTGGCCCTGAAAGGAACAGTGTCACATAAATTAAAGACATAAAGATTTCTTTGTCATCTCAGTTTTAATTGTAACTACAATATTTTTGCAAATTATTTATTGAGTTTTAAAATTATGAACCGATTCACAATAAGTAATATATTTTAAGGAAAAAAGACAGAAAGAAAAAAAAGGGGGAAAGGCATATAATTAAAACATGATAGAACTGTAATCACCCCAATACTAATTACATTATCAACATTTTGAAAAAATATTGTTCTACCATTACAGACCCAACTAACTACACAGTCATACTAGAATTACAACTAAGCATAATCACATATTATTACATTGTTATATTTGTTGCTCAAAAATCCTTAAACAGTTTTCAGTCTTTCAGTGCATTTTCAATTGGCTTATTCTTCAGAACCTACATTAATTTTGGCAATTTAGGTTATACTGCAACTATATTCTGTTACAACAGCGTGGCACATACTGTGTTATTGAAAGATGTTTTCTATTTTATTAAAAAGTATATAGAACAAGGCCGTTACCTGAATTTTCCAAGCTCAATATTCAAATGCAGAGATGAATTCATTAATACAATGATACAAAAGAGAAGATTGTGGAAGTAAATATGTGTTTTCCATCATAGTTTACACTTGTTTTACTTTGAAACAAGGACGATCTGTTTTCCAATGTTCCCCCCTGACATCATCGACTGGAAAGCAACTATGAGAGAACAAAAAGAACAGCAAAAGGTACTTGTAATGCTTTTTCAAATGAAAGTATCCATAATGGACTGAAATGTACAGGGTTCTGGTACCAAAAAGAATCAGTATACATTCAGCCTTTCACATTCACTGGGTTTAGGCACAGGGCCCCTGAAAAAGTGTGAATAAAGAAACGCCTCTCCAGGAATCTTGGGAGTATCTTGCAGGTTGTTCTCAACTTCTGCACTGAAAGATCTAGAAATTCCTAGAATTATTCTTTCTAGGAATCACTAGGTGTTTCAGCACAACTGTATGGTCAACTTCCTAGAAAACATATTAAGCAAATCAGTGAATGACTAAATTTGTAAAAGTCACACTTGCAAATGTGAAGGGCCAACTGTACATTTCATGTTTTCATAGAATCATAGAATCATTAAATAATAATTAATAAATAAGAGTTGGAAGAGACCACATGGGCCATCAAGTCCAACCCCCTGCCGTGCAGGAAAAGCACAATCAAATTATCCCTGACAGATGGCCATCCAGCCTCTGTTTAAAAGTTTCCAAGGAAGGAGCTTCTACCACACTCTGAGGCAGACAGTTCCACTGTTGAACAGCTCATATGGTCAGGAAGTTATTCCTAATGTTCAGGTGAAATTTCCTTTCCTATAATTTGAACCCATTGCTCCTAGTCCTAGTTTCAAGGGCAGAAGAAAACAAGTCTGCTCCATCTTCCTTATGATACCCTTTCACATATTTATACATGGCTATCATGTCTCCTCTCAACCTACTCTTTTGCAGGCTACACATCCCCAGTTCTTTTAAGATGCTCCTCATAGGGCATGGTCTTTAGACCCTTGATAATTTTAGTCACCCTCCCTAGACACCTTCCAGCTGGTCAATATTTATTTTAAACTCTGGTGCCCAGAATTGGACACAGTATTCCTGGTGAGGTCAAAGCAAAGCAGAATACAAAGGCACCATGACTTGCATCAATCTAGACACTATACTCCTTTTGATGCAGCCCAAAATCCCATTGACTTTTTTAGCTGCTGCATCACACTGTTGGCTCATGTTCAACTTGTTGTCTACGAAGACTCCAAGATCTTTCTCACATGGACTGTTGTCGAGCTAGGCATCACCCATTTTGCATCTTTGTGTTTCTTTTTTTTTCTGTCTAAGTGAAGTATTTTACATTTGTCCTTGTTGAAATTTATTTTGTTTGTTTTGGTCCACCTCTCTAATCTGTTACGGTCCTTTTGAATTCTAATTGAGTTTTGATCCTGTCCTCTGGAGTATTAGCTATCCCTCCTAATTTGATGTCATCTGCAAACTTGATGAGCATGCCCTCTAAACTTTAATCCAAGTCATTAATAAAGATGTTGGACAGAACTGGGCCCAGGACTGAACCCTGCAGCACTCCACTTGTCACTTCTTTCCAGGATGAAGAGGAACCATTGGTGAGCACCCTTTGTTTAACCAATTACAGATTCACCTAATAGTAGTTTCCTTTGGGGGGAGAAGGGCAGGGTATAAATATAGGAAATAAATAAATAAATAAATAAAATTAAAAAGAACATCTTCAGATTTTGGAAAAGCCGGGCATGATTGCCTTTTATCCGCTATCCTGTGCTTCAGGTTCCAGTCCTCTTTAGAGAAGAGGGATTTTATTATGTTTTATTTGAGCCTGTTCTTTGTAATCATGAGGGCTAACTGCAATCATGTAGGCTACTTGAAAGAGACAGCAAGAGGAAAAAATGCAGATCACTGGTAAAAACATCAAACAGTTCTGTGTCCACCTGCACTTCTCCAGATTCAAGCTACTGCTACATATCTTCAATGCCTGGGACTCAGAATCAGCCATGCAGGTTCATTAGAGAATAGCAATCTAATGTTTAAACTGTCCCTCCCGAAGAAGACCCCTAGGTTAGCAATAATCTCTTCATCAGGTAAAGGCCACAGGCTGAAACCAGGACTTTGTGCATACTTGTCCTAAGGCTTTGTAGCACCCTCTTCTATGGAAGTCATGACTCCCTTACCTTCTGGGCTTGCAAAGGACCTATAAAGGTCACCTGTTTTTGGTGGTTTTAAGGGCCAACTTCGGAGTAGTCTGATGTGTGTTTAGTTTAGCACTGTGGTTCTCAACCTGTGGGTCCTCAGGTGTTTTGGGCTACAACTCCCAGAAATCCCAGCCAGTTTACCAGCTGTTAGGATTTCTGGGAGTTGAAGGCCAAAACATCTGGGGACCCACCACTTGAGAACCAATATATAGGTTTACATATTTTATTTCTGCATGGATTGGATGGCCTTGGGGTCTCTTCCAACTCTATGATTCTATCATTCTACATAAGATGCTCTGATCACGTGGAAAGTGCTATAAATATTACAATCATGTATATAATACAGCAGATAATGCATTGCCCAGTTAAAAATTCTGTGTAATAAAAAATCGAAATTTCTCTTTTGTCATTTTGAGTGCTTTAAGTGAGTTATAAATTTTATAACACAAATGTGTCTATTTCCATGTGATAAAAGGACATCACCTTCTAAAACAAAAGGGACCAAATGGGCACATAGACAAATAAAACCAATCCCCACCAACCAAATAGCAATAGTACTTGCTAATAATTCAGAATATATCAAAACAGGATCTCTAGTCTCTAAACAAGGGCTTTACCCAATATATAGCCCTTCAGATGTATATGATTACAACTCCAAGAATCCCCTCAGTCAATAAGGGTATCAGGACTCAGGAAAGTTGACAAACAGGTTCTGCTAATATAGATGGAGCCCCTGGTGGTGCAATGTGTTAAACTCTTGTGCCAGCAGGACTGCTAGCGGGGAACAGGGTGAGCTCCTGTCTGTCAGCTCCAGCTTCTCATGTGGGCACATGAGAGTAGCGATTCGAATCCGGGGTGAGCTCCTGTCAGCTCCAGCTTCTCATGTGGGGACATGAGAGTAGCCTCCCACAGGATGGTAAAACATTCAGTTGTCCCCTTGGCAACATCCTTGCAAACGGCCACTTCTCTGACACCAGAAGCGAATTGCAGTTTCTCTAGTAGCTCCTGACACGAAAAAAAGCCATTCAGTTCAGGGGCTTACTTATGCAATTAGGCCTCTGGTGGAGTAGCAGGTCAAACTGCTGAGCTGCTGAACTTGCTGACCGAAAGGTCGGCAGTTTGAATGAGTAGTGGGGTGAGTTCCCACTGTTAGTCCCAGCTTCTGACAACCTAGCACTTCGAAAACATGCAATTGTGAGTAGATCAATAGATACTACTTTGGCGGGAAGGTAATGGCACACCATGCAGTCATGCTGGCCACATGACCTTGGAAGTGTTTACAGACAATGCCGGCTCTTCAGCTTAGAAATGGAGATGAGCACCAACTCCCAGAGTTGGACATAGCTAGACCTAATATCACCTTTACTTTATGCTCATCAAACCTGTCCAGAAGAAAATAGTTTTAATGAACCTAGAAATTCTGCCATAATTTGCTGAAGTGTTGTTTATTTATTTATGTATTTATTTCTGGGCACTGGGCTTTTCTTCTAAAATATAAAGTGAAGGTGAATTGCTTATTGGAAATGTGTAATAGCTAATTCCTACTTTTAAAAATGTATATTTTGATCAGAGGTGGAAAGCAGACAACTAAAACTACTAAGCTTCTTCATCATCAGCTATATTAGTTAAAGCTGCTGGAAACCAGTTCAGAGGATTACAATTTAGAATTTAAGATGGATATGCTGATGTTTAACTAACTTTACATTATCACTTGCAATGGCTCCCTGGTACCTTAGATTTTTCCACATGCCCCCAATGTATTTGCCTACTGCAAAATGGTCTCTTGAAAAATCACTCTGAGAAAGAAGTAATACCTTACCTCCAATGTTTTCCAAGCCTTCCACCACTGTCTCTTTAACCTGTTAAGAAGAAATAACAGATTATAGCATACTGCCTTTTGCCTGTTTCCTAAATGCAATATCATGGAGGGTTACATATCCTAATATATGTTCTCAGGTTCATTAATTTTCTAGTTCAAAGAGTTATTAAACTGTCTGATCAGAAAGTTCTAACAATATTGCAGATAGAATAATAATAACATGGATGGCAAAATATTTTTCTAAAAGAAAGTAATTACTAAAGCTCATAAGTGAAATCTTCTAAGACAACATTTTTCAACCTAGGGGTTGGGATCTCTGGGAGGGGGGGTCGCGAGGGGGTGTCAGAGGGGTCATCAAAGATCATCAGAAAACACAGTATTCTCTGTCAGTTATAGGGATCTGTGTGGGAAGTTTGGCCCAATTCTATCGTTGATGGGGTTAAGAATGCTCTTTGGTTGTAGGTGAACTATAAATCCCAGCAACTACAACCCCCAAATGTCAAGGTCTATTTTCCCCAAACTCCACCAGAATTCAAACTTGGGTGTATTGGGTATTTGTGCCAAATTTGGTCCAGTGAATGAAAATAAATCCTGCATATCAGATATTTACATTACAATTCATAACAGTAGCAAAATTGCAGTTATGGAATTGCAACAAAAATAATTTTATGGTTGGGGGTCACCACAACATGAGCAACTGTGTTAAGGGGTCGCGGCATTAGGAAGGTTGAGAAATATGGTCTAAGACATACCTTCAGTTTCCCTTCTTTGATCCATTGACATAGCTGCATAGTACTAGCTGCATACTTGTCCATATAGTTCAAAACTAAAAATCTCTCTCTGTAAACAGAATGCACATTACATCTTTTATGATCACGGCATTCACAAAAGTCCTCAATGCTATGTAGAGAAAATTAAAATAAAATAGCTACACCAATAAACATAAAACATCAAAAATGAATTTGTTTCAACATTAAAAACACTAAAAACAATTTAATGCTTTTTAAAAACTCTTAAAATATTTTTGACAAGACAGAAAGAAAATTGGGAATGGAGAGGAATCATAAAGGTGAATGGACAGCATTCCACAGTTCTGAAGTGAACATCCCAAGAGAAAGTGCTTTCACGTAGGTCCAACACATACATTTCTGTGTTATCATCTTTAAAAAGGGCTTTTACACCAGATCTTAATACCCATTTTGAACTAGGTTCACAGTAAGTCAAGTAGTCCCTTAAGCAAGCCCTGAGATAGTTAGCTTTAACTTATAACCACTCTGAGTAAGATAAGAAAGCAAAAAGCAGCAAGCCCAGATCTTTTGTTAGTGTCCACATAATATGGTCTCAGTTCCAACTAGAAGCCTAACAAATGTATTTTGCATCAATGAATTTCTCAGATACTCTTCAAGTATAGCTTACATAGCTTGATAGTGATTTTCGAAAACTGTTAAATTGTGTGCTTAATGGAAATATCCTGAAAGTTTATTTTATATTCACTATTGTTTTCAAAGAAGTAATATTTATGTGTTATAGTTACAAATTGTGGATAGTACTTTGATTTTGTAGTTGAATGCATTCAAACTTTAAACAACCTCAGGTATGCCTGTTCAGGTGAAATCTTCTGAACGGGGCAGAGACAGCAAAACAAAACACCCCTGGAGTGTTAACTCTTCCTTACCACTGTGCTATCCAAAACTTGTGTGTGTGTGTGGCTGGAGTTACACTTACAAAATGTACTTGTTCTGACTTACATACAAATTCAACTTAATAATAAACCTACAGAGCCTATCTTGTTCATAACTTGGTGACTGCCCGTACTGTAAATATTTAGACCTTGTTCCATAAAGATGCTGCATCATGAAGTTTTAGAAAGTGTTTTCTTTGAACAACAACAATAAAATCAATGCTAACATATCCCATCAGATGTAATATTTGTATTCAATTCCATTAATGAGAAATACCTTGTGATATTCTTTGCTTTCCTTATCTCTTCTATTGCTGGAGGCAAAGGAGGGGGATAAGGCACATTCTTATTATATTGGGAGATCTGGCCACATAAAATGATATGGCTATTAGGATTCATCTGTAGGAAACAAAATTGAGTGAGATATGTTACTTTTTTGCCTCTCTACAAGCATGAAAGTTCAAACGTAACTTGAAGTTGCAACCCAATATATATGAGTGTGGGTAAAAAGGTTTTGCCTCCTGTGTTATAAAAACCATGGGTTGCAAAACAAAATCCTGGATTTTTCCAAAATGGTATTGATTCCTGGATTAAACACTGGCGCAGATACATACAAATTGAAGGTGACTATGTTGAATGGTGGTTTTGCGTAGAGGGCAGTTCAGGCAATGATCTGTCGCAACTTCTGTTGTTACATGTTCATTCGTAATGTTTTTATGACATAGGAGGCAAAACCTTTTGACCCACCCTTGTACATACTCATAGTTATACACACACTGAACTGCACAGAGCTTACTTCTGAGGAGACATGCTTAATTTACTTTGAAAAGCACCGATCATTCCTAGAAATGGGTTATCAGTGTAATTTTCTTAAAAACCGTAGAGAACAAGGACATGACTTGGGAACTGAACATGAGATAGGATGATTGAAGACCATACATATTTCATGTATGAAGTTTTTAGTGCACTCCATATTCTCAGGAAATTCTTTCTGCAGGGTCTTTTATTCCAAGAAACACAGTTAAACTCTCACTTTTTGGACTATCACTGGGGGGAAAAACACTTCCAGACTATAAGGCATGTAACCTTTAAAATGTTTTAAAGTCGGCATGGGCAAACTTGAGACCTTTGGGTGTTTTGGACTTCAACTCCCACCATTCCTAACAGCCTCAGGTCCCTTCCATTTCCCCCTCAGCCGCTTAAGCATATGCCTGCTTTAAAGGGAACTTTTCTGAGCACAACTGGGGCAGAGAATTCTGGTAGGCTTCTCTATGACCCAACATGATGTCCTTGCAGTTAAGCTCTACAGGTAAACACCAGAAATACAATCATCCCTCCCTCCCTCCCTTTTAACCAGTTTTTTGGGAATTCTACCATTTCTTATTTAAGTATGCAAATTCACAGTGTTTCAATCCTTTCAAGCTAACTTGAAAAGAAGATGGGGAGGAAATCTGATTTGTGGCATTTTTTTCTGAATTTCAACACAACAGCTGATGGTTCTAACGAGGCAGCTATTGTGTTGAAATTCATGGATGGAGCTGTTGCAACAATGGAGTCGTGTGCTCCTGTAACCAGTGAGCAATACAGCTGTAGTGATGTGTTGTGCAGCTTCAAAATTTCCTCCCACCTTTGAGCTCATCGACAGCTGACTGTCCTTTCAGCTTGGGTTCAGTTGCATCATTAGCTTCCGTGCTATTCATTGTTGCCTCTGCTCTAGTAGCTCACAGAGTACCTTCCAACCTGGAAGTCTCATCTTCTGGCACTATTTCTTATTTCATTTTGAATTCCCTTGTCATAGTATTTTTGTGATAAAAGAAAGTCTATGCAGTACGAAAAATGTGGGCTGTGGAGTCACAGTCATTGATCTCTAAAGATCCCTCACCAGTGTTGCCCTTCACTACTACTGCAACGTAGTAGCTGTTTGGCACAGGTACTCTGGATCCTCAACAGAAGCCTGTCTGACACAGGGGACATCACTAGTAGCACTGCTAACCACAGCATTGCAGATTTCCTCACAGAAGCACGTGTATCCACTACAACAGGTAGATTACAGCCTGTGTTGGATGAGGTCACACTCCCTCTGAAGACACAAGTCCGTAGTCTGGGGGTGGTCCTGGACTAATCGCTGACCCAGGTGTCGGCAGTGGCCAGGAGCGCCTTCACACAGTTAAAACTTGTGAGCCATGAGACACCAGACTTTGCTGTGGTAGTCCACGCCTCAGCCACATCCCGTTTGGACTAGTGCAATGCTCTCTATGTGGGGATGCCTTTGAAGATAGTTCGGAAGCTATAATTAGTCCAAAGGTCAGCAGCCAGGTTACTAACTGGGACCCCATACATGGAGAGAACCACTCCAATGTTATGGCAGCTCCACTGGTTGCCAGTCTGCTTCCGGGCTAAATATAAAAGTGCTGGTTGTTACCTATAAAGCCCTAAATGGTTTGGATCCAGACTATTTGTCTGATCTCTTCTCTCTGCACTGCAATCAGTGAGGAGGCCCTGTTCTCTGTCCCACCCCCATCTCAAGTGCAGCTGGTGGGAATGAGTGAATGAGTGATCACCTCCCATCTCTGGAACTCCCTCCCTTAAGAAATAAAAATGGCCCCCGCCCTCCTCTCCTTTAAAAACTCTTGAAAATGCACTTACGCACTTTTAGTTTATGGAGAGGAGGAGGACTAGGACACTTTAAATTAATTCCATCAGATCGCTGGCTAACTTACTTCTACCTCATGGCAGCTATGATACTTTTTAGTGAAAACCTGTGATAGCCATTTCCAATGTATTTTAACTGTCTTACAGGGTATATACCTTAATGTTAATTCATGTTATTAGTATTATGTCCTACTGGATTATTTTTATTGTGTTTTCATTTTGATGCTTAATTCTTTTGTTATAAGTTTACTGTTATTATTATGCATTCCTTTGGATTTTTTTATGTGTTTGTATTTATTTTGAGCATTAAATGTTTGCCTTTTTTCTGTGTGTAAACTGCCCTGAGTCCCTTCGAGGAGAAAGGGCAGTCTAGAAATAAATAATAATAATTATTATTGCATAAAAACACAGTAGTACAGCAAACAAGATATATATGATGGATTTCATATCACAAAATCACAAGTTGAACACTTGTCAAGCATTTAGAACTGTGTGATATTATTATTATTATTATTATTATTATTATTATTATTATTATTATTGTGTTATAGTAAGAAAACCCATATGTACATTCTCCTTAGTTCCATTGTACCACATCAGCATTAGCACTGAGTAATTCTTCCGTTCATAATCCTCTTATTAGTTGGCATCCTTTGTATGCCTAGACTAATTAATTACTAGTTTACATGTTGCTCTACAGGTGTTAAGACACAACATCTTTCCCCACACCTGCTCTCTTCCTGCATCATTGCAACCTGCAGCCATTTATGTCTTCTTCTTTTTTCCATAAGACCATGTGTTTGATTATAACCAAGTATTTTGTTAGTAAAGCTAATTTTATATTCTTTTTAAAAATAAGACTCCATTTATTTCTTCTCTCTGCCAGATCTTGGGGGGAAGGGGGGTGAGACTGGTTGTTGTTCAGCTTCTGCTTTGCCAACTTGATTATTCTCCCTCTGAAAGTTAATACTCTTTCTGATATTTTTCAAAAACCTGTTCCACAATAATGGGAACTACATAACTCTCTATTAACCAGTGTATGAAACTGCAGTTACAACACTGCTTGCAATTGTTAACTAAAGAGTTATGCTTACATGGAAGCAATCTGATGTACAAAGGAATATGCCTACCTTGTCTAATAGGCTTCCAAGAACACAGTCTGAAAAGCCTTATAACAGAATGCTAAATAGTTAACCATGCCAATTAAGAGAACAGTCAAGGGGAACACTGTGTGTTTATCATGTGTTACAAAACAGATCTGTAGAACATTCAGTTCATCTGTCCCACATTCTGTTACAACAACCAGAAATACATACTTTCCATTTATTCGACAAAATAAAATACAAGTCCCCCAACACACCCTTGCCTTTTTTTTGTCACTAGGTTAAACAACAGCTCGAAAATGAAAACCTGCTTCTTTCTAATTAGATAAAAGTATATTTCAAGAACACATTAAGTTGTTTCAGTGCACTTCTGCAGGCAGCCTCCTTTATAACAGGGAAAATTACACTAAAATTAGAAAACAGATTAGACAGGTCGATTTCATTATAATGAAATTGGTGTTTTACTAGCTATCTCTTGTGATAGTCACCACTAAAAGAGTAAAGCTAGACAGTTTTGGAATGTTTTTATGCAACTGGTCCTGCACTCAGAAACAGCTCACATATGAAAAAAATCACATCACTCCTCAAAAAATCTAGCATATGACAGAATCTAATTTTAAGCAGTCAGAGCTCCAGTATCCAGATTGACATCTTCATCTCATGTATTCACTCAAACGTTGATCTTATATTTCATTCTCAAAGTGCACTGAAGACTAAGCTATCAACAATTATAAGAATTCCAGACAAAATTTGGAAGGTCAGCAAGACTAAAAAAACCTCCCTGAACAAGGCAGACTTAACAAGATGGATCATCATCATAGGTTATCATTTATGGCCAGGTATGATAACACAGTGGCGCAGTGGGTTAAAGCGCTGAGTTGCTGAATTTGCTGACTGGAAGGTTGGCGGTTCGAATCTGGAGAGGGGTGTGATTGCCCGTTGCTAGCCCCAGCTTCTGCCAACCTAGCAGTTTGAAAACATGCAAATGTACGTAGATCAATAGGTATCGCTTTAGGGGGAAGGTAACAGTGCGCCATGCCGTCATGCCAGCCACATGACCTTGGAGGTGACTATGGACAATGTCGGCTCTTCAGCATAGAAATGGAGATGAGCATCACCCCCCAGAGTCACACATGACTAGACTTAATGTCAAGGAGAAACCTTTAACTTTACCTTATAATTGTCTTTCTGGGTGGAGGGTCTGTAATTGACTCTAGGGACCTATTCTGGATCTGCACAGTCTTTCCTGTCAAAGGCAAGATGGTTGGGCAGCCATCTGAGGCTCCAACTTGTTGCAAACTTCCTCTTTACTCCATAATTTTATTTATTTATTTATTTAAAACATTTATATTCCGCCCTTCTCACCCCGAAGAGGACTCAGGGCGGAGCACAGCATATATATGGCAAACATTCAATGCCAGGACAATAATTCATTATATGCATACATAAACATTAAAAACATTTATCTCAGCATTAAAATACACTGTTTAAAACCGTCTCAATCATCCGCAGGAAATCTAATTGGCCTGGTAAGGTTTCTTGCTACCATCAAGCTTATCATAGACTGGAATCATACGTGGCACTAGGTCCTTGGTAAAAATGCAAATAGCTAGAGAGGGACATATGTCAATAAGAGATTCCACA